TGTGTCTGATGACTAGTTCCCAAGTCAGACAAAAACAGCTGTTTATGTTTTTCTCCCAGAAGGAGATTTCTATTCCTCTCCCCAAACTTAAGAATGAAGTGGTCATCAACTAATAAAAGGACATTTTCTCCAAACAAATGTGGAAGTTCAAATAGAAGTTAAAGAAATTAAGAGACTGAAAACTAAGATATGGAGGACGGATGGGAACAATCGAGAAATTGGAGTTAATATTGCCTCCTTCCCTTCCTTGTCCAGTTAGATTTCAGCCCTGTTGAGGTTCAAGGACTAGATCTTCCTCACCAACCATCACTCCCATGACAAGTGAGCTTTCCCTTATTTCCGCAGGGGAAATTTGAGCTGAGATCTACTGGAAAAAATCATTTCCTCTAAGTTTTGAATAAAAAAGGGATTGGCCTCCCTGTTAAGCTCGGCACTCAAGTGATCTTGTAAATAAGAACTATTCAGTGTGGGGAGAGGTCTGCTCTCTCGTGCAGTTTTTAGGCAACAGATTATTTGTGGTTCTCTTCTGATTTCAAATATAGTTATCAGTTGTAATATTTTAAATCTTTAAAGCAATAAATATGTTGAGTCAAACTCACTGAGGAAGATTAGGAGGGAAAGAAGCACTTAATCTTTATTTCTTTAGAAGAGGATTTAATGGCAGGTTCAGACTGTTTAATGTCAGGCCCAGTACCACATCCGTGTTTTATTATGTTTCATTAATACTGTAAAAATGTCTTTATTACTCATGATAAATAAAAAACAAGTACTTACTGATGTGAGTTTAAATAGGTAAAAGTGCAAAGAAAGACTCACTGTACTAATACCATGAAACTGAGATCTTAGCTTTTTTGGCTTTGCTGTTTTGGTTCTTTTGTCTGTTTATGGTATTTTTTCTTTATTGCGTCAGGATCTCATTATGTTGGGCAGGCTGTCCTCAGGTTCCCCGACTCATGCGACCCTATTTATTTATTCGTTTGTTTATGGGATGTATCCATAATTCAACATTAAAAAGAATTTAAAAGTACATGCAAAACAGGATTCTTGGGATTTTTTCACTGTTTTTCTGATTGGCCAATTCTAATGAGAAGACACACCCAAAGGAAAATTGCTAAAGGTGATGAAAATGTGAAGCTTGCGAAGTTCCAGTAGTGCCTCAGGATGAGCTTACTCTGCGTGACAGGTGCGGAACTACCGCTTTCAGATATTTTTCTAAAGCCGGAGTTATTTTCAAAGGTTTCCTCTCTGCCTCTGGATTACAGGGGAAACGACTAACTTCTCCAGAATAAAACTGGCCTCGCGCTAAAAGAATAGCAGTCCTCTGCTCCGCCTGCTGGGGATTAGCAGCTGAGCGCAGGAAATGAGCATTTTCAAACACAGCCTTGCTTCACTCACTGGACGTTCAGCCCGCAGTCGCCCGCGCTCCCGGCGGCTCTCTCTTCCCTGGTGGCGCATGCGTCCCAGAACGTTCTGGGCGGGCTCCCCAACCCCTACCTCCCACGTGAGTCTTACACTGCCCCCCCCCCCGCTTCACTGTGACGTCACCGGCTGCGGGCCAGGCCTCCCGGCAAGCCCAGTGGGAGGAGCCGCTCGGCCCCGACCGGGGGCGGGGCTTAAGGGGGCGGGGCGAGGTGGGCCGCCCGGCCCAGCTGGGAACACAGCTCATTCCCTGCCGGCTCCCCAGGCCACCGGAGCTGGGCTGCGCGCAAGGCGTTCTTCCTGGGAAGGACAGGCGAGTGTCTGCTGGTTCTCGGCCGCCAGGAAAAGCCCGGAACTAACTACTCTGCCCCTGCAAGGCCCCCACACCGCAGAAAGCCTGCGACAGGGACAGAAGCTGACTGAGCTCTCCTGTGAGGGCAGCGCCCCGGGGCGGTGCAGAAACTGTCGCTGAACTCACCCTCAGCAGTGGATTATACAGGCCGCTCCGGGTCCGAAGGCTGCGCAATGCGAGAAGAGGACAAGAGCATGCTCAGTGGTGGCGGCTGCGATGTGGACCTGGCCAACGCCGCGGCGCGAGGGCAAGTGGAGACGGTTCGGCATCTCCTGGACGCCGGAGCAGATCCCAACGCCGTCAATCGCTTCGGGAGGCGCCCGATCCAGGTAGCTGGGGCCCCAGGGCCTTGCCGGCAGGGGGCGCGCGAGCGCGCAGCACGCCCTCCGCGGGTCGCGGCTAGCACCCAAACCTCCACCGAAGTAGACCTGGGCTACTGTCTCTCTAGCTGCAAGTGCTCAGCTCAGGCATAAGGCAGGTTTTTACCCAGCAGAAATCCCAAAGGAAGGAATTGGAAAGGGAAAGGGAAAAAATTGCTTCCGTTTATTGCAGTTCTGGGGGATCAAACTCGGGCCTGGGGCACACTAGACAAGGGCTTCACCACTCACCTATACCCTTAACTCCTGGCTTTCTCTTTATGGAAAAAGAAATAAGCATTTGTTCTGCCATCTTATCAGAGATGCAAGGAAGAGGTTCAATGGGGAAGAGAGGGGAAAAGGTAAGATCAGTTAGGAAGGAGGACTGTTTTGTCCGGCTATTTTCCGCGATAAAGATAAATAAATTTACAAGTTGCACAATCTGGATTGGATTTAAGGAATTTTCCAAAATCATATCACATGAAAAAACTCACCGTGAACTTAATTTTAAGCAGCTGTATGAAATGTTTTATTTTTTCCTCATAGAGGCTAGTTGAATTCAGAGGAATTAAACAGGATTCCCCAAGCACAGTACTTAATTCCTTGTATTTTATGTTAGCAATGTCTTAAGTGATACAGACGAGGGAAAAAATTATGCTTCTATAGTTTTTTATTGTTTACCGCACTCAGTACTTGAAATACAAAAACATTCCTACAGCACCTGTTAGATCCGTTTGGCAAAGGGTTTTCATAAACAGTCTCTCCATTGTTAATATACATATTCAGATTTTCTACTAATAATTTTGCTGTAATATTTTTAATTCCTTTAAAACATGAGATAATGATTTTGTACATTACTTTTGACTGTTTATGGCCATATCAGTACTCAGCCATCATCACTCTCCAGAACTAAGTGAATATTAAGGGGTCTTGGTGATGAGGTTCATTTTAAGGGAAGTGTCCATTCCTTTAAAGCCCTTAGAAAACCGGTATAACAAATAAGGGATATTTTAAAGCAAGAAAAATATTGTAAAGTGGTTCTTAAAGACTTAAAATGTTATTATAAAAACAAGTATTCTTATTTACAATTTTAGTTCACATATTCTGAGATACTAAGAAACACTTTTTCCCCCTTTCCCTTATGTGTAAGATAGCCTTTATATTACTACTAGAAATGACAACTTAGAGTTCTCATAGTCTTTAAGGGAGGAAATGAATTTTTTTTTATGTTCATGAGACCAAAAAAAGCACTAGAAGTTTACTGCCTTTCAACTATATGGTACATTTGAAAGGATGTAAACCTACAAACAAATGACTGATCTGGACATTTAGTTATCAAAAATTGTTTTTATTATTAACTTAAAAACATAAAAGCAAATGATTGCAGTATGTACATGTACACAAATGATGCTATAAACATTATTTTTTATAAATTATACATCCCTCTGACCTACTAACCTCCAAGCTCTTCTTATGGAGAAATATATTTGCTGCTTAACATAAAATCATGGTAATTATTAAGTCCTGTACAATGTTGGACATGACAATTTACTTTTTTCTCCTCTAATCTCCAACTTTGGCTCAAATTATTAGACTATAATCTGTTTATGAGCACAAACGCCTTTGGCAATACATAAAGCAAACCTTCCACAGGACTGCTATGAGAACTAAACAAAGTTAAAACTTTTTTTAAAAAAACTTGGGTGTTATTTTCCTCCTTGACATTAATCAAACATCTGAAAAAATGCCAGTTGATTACCTAATAAATATTTTACACCTACATTAATGGGGAGCAGGAAAAGCAGCAACCAATGCAATTTAAGATTTTTAAAACTACTTAAAGCCAGGCTAGGTGACACAAAGCCTGTCATTACAGACCTCTGGGAGGCTGAAGCAGGAGAATTGCCTGGAATTCACTGCTAGCCTGGAACATAGCAAGACTGTACCTCACACAAAAAAACCCAAAATATAAATGCCATTTAAACTTAACTCTGCCCATAAATCATTTAACAAAATGAGTTCCCATGTTCCAATGAAAATCAAGAATTTTTACCACAATGACAATCACTTTACTGTCAGTTCTTTTTTGTTTCTGCACGTTTGGAGAATAAAGTAGAATTTAATTCAAAGAGTATAACTAGGGCCGGGATTTTAGCTCAGTGGTTCTGGCGCCTGCCTCGCAAGCACAAGGCCCGGCCGAGTTCAATCCCTGGTACCTAAATAAATAAATAAATAAATAAATAAATAAAAAGTGTATAACTAGGGGAAAGGCAGTTGTATCAGCAAATGAAGAGAAAGGAGATTCCCAGACTCAAAGGCTTGTAGCCTCTTCCTTGGTCGGATACCTCACCGTACAGACGCATTTCTTTGAAATGGCTCTGCCCCCACCTCCTTCCCTCCCTCCAAGGCGCGCCGCTTCTCACTGTCCCACACTATGGAGCTGACCGTTCTGCTCCCTCCCGCAGGTCATGATGATGGGCAGTGCCCACATGGCTGAGCTTCTGCTGCTCCACGGCGCAGAGCCCAACTGCGCAGACCCCGCCACACTCACCCGACCGGTACACGACGCGGCGCGGGAAGGTTTTATAGACACACTAGTGGCGCTGCACCGGGCTGGGGCGCGGCTGGACGTGCGCGACGCTTGGGGCCGCTTGCCCGTGGACCTAGCTGAGGAGCAGGGCCACCGAGACATCGCTGGGTACCTGCGTGCAGCCTCTGGGGACTGATGACAGGCTCCCTGAGGCACCTACAATGACTTTTTTCTCCCCAGTACCCCACCCCAACCTGGTTCCTGCCACCTGTAAACGTGGAGCAGCGTAGAGCCTGCAAGCCTTCCCATCTCGGCTGGACTGCTGGGAGCAAGAAGGGGCCAACGGAGAATAAGTTCATATACCTTTTTGTGAATCTGTAGCCTGCCCTCAACTCTCATCGTGAAGCCAAATGCTGAGAAGTGGGACAAATCTATCGCCAACAAGTTTTAGGCATGTGTGAAGTTTCAGATGTTAACTACAATTTAGGATTTTCTGATGGAAAGTGGATCACCCTGGCTGCCTAGGAATCTTCCTAAGGTAATCCTGAGTCTGGAGTTGGAAGTGGCAGTGCTTAGCATTCGAGTGGGGGTACTCAGTCTGTTTGCCCCGCTGATAAACTGATCGCTGAGGAGCTCCCGGTCCCGGGAAGTAGACTGTAATCCCTGGAAGCTGGAAGGAAACCTAAGGACTGATGAGTAGCTGGGAGAGATTAGATGGGCTTCAGCGGGGCCCAAGGCTTTCCACTGCACAGCACAAAGTCATTCGAAAGGGTACTGTCTGGAAGCACTGGAGACTCACCCAGTTCCACCAGGTAACAAAGCCGGAAAGCGCTTGTGGGAGCTACAACAGATCTGCCCCTATACTGTAACAATCCGGATGTCTTCTTGAAGTAAAGCAGCTCGCCAACAGCTGCTTTTTCTCATTCCATTAAGGCACAGTTGACTGTTTTCTGGATGTAGTCAAAATCAAACAGTGCAAGAATAAAGTGTTGTATTATAATCAGAGCAATTGTAGCAGTTAACTTTAATAATGTGCTTTCTCTATTTAAGATAGGACCCAGAAATCCTCCTTGTGAATTGCCACTTGAAAAGATTTCATGATTCTTTGTACTTTTGAGTTGTTTTTAGTAACAATGCATTAGTGGGAAGATTGTGACAAAATAATTCATGGCCCTCAGTAAAGAGTGAGGCAAGGGCCAGGATTTAGCTCAGTGGTTTTGCCACCTGCCTAGCAAGTGCAAGGACCTGAGTTTGATCCCTGGTGCCAAAAAAAACAAAAAAAAAAAAAGTGAAGCAAAATTATGCTTCTTAATGAAGCTATGGCCCTGTGGCAAGCTCCTAGTACTCAGGCCTAGATTGCTTTTACCTTAAACAATGTTTATTTATTTCTTTGTTAAATTTATCTGATTGTTTCATTGATAGAGTGTCTCCAGGAAATATTCCAAATATGTTTTAGAAAATAGATGCCTTTGCCCAGTAAATTACCTTGGGATAGTTCCCAAAAGGCTGCTGAAAAAGTAGATGAAGCATAAAACTGTTGAAAATGATGGAATGTCTTATTATCTGCTGACCAAACTAATGGTCCACTGCTTTTGGGTTTTATATCCAGTGTTGCTTAATTCACTATAGCATTGGAACAAATGATACTTAATTACTGTTTTAATAAAGAATAAACCATATAACTTGAAATCCAAGATGTGGATACTTTCATTTAAAAATGTATTTCCATCAACTTACCACTAATTCCTGACAAACACTGAAAGATCAAAAGGATTCACTTCTTTCATCTCTCATAATAATTGTTGATAAATGATCCCAACAATTTGTAAAACCTGCATATATATAATAGGAAGTTAAACATAAAATTTATATATTCACTATGCTTCTAAGTATCCAGTCTACTGACTGTACATTTAAAAGAGAAAAGATAGAACAGAGCCGGGGATTTAGCTCAGTGGTTCCGCTGCCTGCCCCGCAAGTGCAAGGACCCGAGTTTGATCCCTGATACCGATAAATAAATAAATAAATAAATAAATTTTTAAAAATAAAAGAGAAAAGATAGAGTAGAAAAAAATTAAGAGGAAAGATTTATAAGAGGTACCTTTAAGTTAATTATACAAATTTTCTCTATCAATACCTTATTCCTCAAATTAATGTATGACAGTTCTGGGGAAGGTTAGTTGGAACCTGACTATATCTTATTGGGAAGAAATATCTGTTTATTGACACATAATTTGTTCAAGCACACTTTAAAGTACTTTAACACTTAAATCTGAGAAATAGGATGGGATTTTAGTTTATTTTTGTTTTGTTATTTGTGGTGATGGGGATTGAACCCAGGGCCGTGGGCACACTAGGCAAGCCCTCTGCCACTGAACTACATCTCCAGACCAAAAGAGGTGTTGTTTTCTTGAATAACATGCTAAAGGAGAGAAGGTACTCATTCTATGATGTGCAAAGTAAGTCCATCTGGTTCCAAAGCTTTTTCTTTCATTTATAATCAGTGGAGCTTGATTTGGCTCATGGAACTGGAGGTCTGTTATGGCAAGGCTATCCAGGGGCCTGGGGCCACATCTAGTGAGAGCCTTCTTGCTGCTTCGGAACACAACAGAAGAATGGGGGAGGGGGGCGCTGAGACAAAGAGAGACTGAGAAAATCAAGCTCCAAGCCTCAAACACTTTAAGAATCTAAATCCAGGACTGGGGTTTTAGCTCAGTGGTTCTGCCACCTCCCTGGCAAGTGCAAGAACCGGAGTTAGATCCCCCGGTACCAAAAAAAAAGAAATCTAAATCCACTCTTGAAGCCCTCAAGATCTAAACACCTCCCATTAGGCTCCACCTCCCAAAACTTTTGCTTTGGGTATTCAGTTTCTAACACATGCTTTGAGGGGTACATATTTAAACCGGAGTAATGACCTTTTTCATGTACCAGTTTATCATTCAGCCATGCTAATCTTCTTGGAGTCTCCTAAACAGGCTGTATTCTCTCCCCTCATGCCATTACACACAGTTTTCTCTCCATCTCTTACATTATCAATCTAGTCATCTTTTTAGTATGTATCCTGTTAGATTCTGCTTAAAGAACAAGTTAACTGCTGAATGATAGGTGACTAAGTAATTGACCTGAATAATCCTTATTTCATCCTGAGGTTGAACCTAGTGCCCCTCTTCTGTGATGCCCTACATGTTTCTCTAGCACAGAATTTTTTTTTCTTTCTCTTTCCTGTGATACAATAAACTCACTAAAGGCATGAAGTGGCGCTTACTTGGTTACCCCCCAATCCCAACCCCTGGGTACTGGGGACTGAACCCAGGGCAGTCTCACTGAGCTACATTCCCAGTGGGGTTTTTTTGGTTTGTTCTTGTTGTTTGTTTTGTTGTTTTGTTTTTTAAGACAGCATCTAGCCAAGTGACTAAGTTGCCCAAGCTGAGCTTGAACTTGTGATCCTCCTGTTTTAGACTGCCAGAGTGCCAGGATTACAGGCATGTGCCACCATACCCAGCTTGTATTCATTTTTGTAGCTCCTGTGCATCACAATATCTAGGACACAGTTGACTCAGTGAAAACACAGATAACTGTACAAAAAACATTTCATATTACCATTATGTTTCAAAAAAAAAAGTAAAGTAAAATATTAATGTAAACATCAATGTTTACTCACAGAAAATCAAGCCCAGAGAATAAATTATTTGCTTTCTACTCAAAAATTAATCTGCCCATTTGAGATACAGTTTTTGACACATTAAAAGTATTTTTTAAAATAATAAAAAGTTACTTTAAGAATCTAAAAGGTTATTTGCTGAGAGTGGTATAAATTTTTATTTTGATTAAATGATGTTTGAGATAATAGAATTCAGGATGCTAGGAAGAAGTATTTTATTTACACAAATCCAAAACATTTCTCACACAGTCTTTCATAGTTTTCTTAAAAGTTGGTGTTATGGGTATATTGTATTTATAGAACATTAGGAAATAAAATTAGGGCATAATTCAGACAATAAACTGCACATTTTCTGAAGCTACAGTCCTAAACATCTTATGGAATTCTTTCCATTGTGTGAGATTTTCAAATACATTGACACTATTTTGGAAATAAAGGGTTCTATACTATTATCAGTAACTGCTAAGTTTGCAGTTAGTACTAACAACTAATTTTAGAAAAACTACAAATGGACTGTAGAGAACCGTTCATCGGTCCTAAATGAATAGCTAGGTCAACTGACACCTGTAGGGTTTAGTTCCTTGAATAAAATTTTAATTCCCAAGCCTGTGAAGTGATCTGAGGTTTCAGAACAGGTAAGTATTCTACCTATCTCTTTTTTATTGTATATTGACAATACATAATATAGACTTATGAGATACAAATGATGTTATGATCTATGAATAAAACGTGGAATAACTAAATCAAGCTAGTTAATATATCCATCACCTCAAATAACATGATAAATGAAATGTCAGTCACAGAAAGACAAATGCCACAACTTATTACTTATATGTGGAATCCAAAACAACTAAATTCATAGAAACATATAATGGTAGTTACAGAGCCTGAAGGGTAGGGAAAATGAAAATGATGGTATAATAGCACAAAATCTCAGGTGGACAGGATGAATGTTTCTCCTTTTTTTCCTATTGAACATTATGGCAAATATAATATTTTACATTTCAAAACTGTTAAAATAAAAATTTTCAAATGTTCTCATAACACAGCTTATAGTTTTGTTTTGCTTCCATGGCACGAACCTATCCTCCACAATCATTAATACATATGAAAACAACTAATTTTGAAAAACATAAATAAACAATGATATTACTCCTTTTTTATTTCCTAGGATAACTTTCCTACTTTTCTTTCTTTCTTTTTTTTTTTTTTTGGTACTGGGGATCGAACTTGGGACCTTGCACTTGGGAGGCAGGTTGCGGCACCACTGAGCTAAATCCTTGGCCCTTTCTGTAAGATATAATGAATAGAAAAATAGTTTTAAATCTGTTATAAATGGCTTTGGAGAATAGCCCCCACAGAAATATTTTTAAAACTCAAAAATTTTGGAAGATAATGGAACCTTCATTTTCAAATTAAGCCCCAACAAAAGAAAATAAAATTCTATTTATTACTTAAGCACTCAATCACTTGGAGGGTGAGGTTAAAATTTTTTTAAATTTATACTGTAAAGGCTAGGGATGTACTTAAGTGGTGGAGAACATGCCTGGCCCTGGGTTCAATTCCCAACACTGCAAAAATTAATTAACATGATATTGTTTTACAATTACTAAGAAATATCCTGGAGGAGAAAAGGAGTTCATAATCTAAGTCTCCCATTTATTTATAAAATCCCTTAATTTGTCTTAAATTACATATACATGGAACATGTTACTCCATTCCTAGTTTAAAGAAATTGTGGTATCTTTCCTAATGACAACTTGATATTGAAGGGCAATTAAACAAGAAAATGTGATTGTGAATTTTACAGTACTATATTAAAAAGGGGGGGGGGTTGTTGTTTGCTTCACTTTATTAGATTCTCTTTTTTCCATAACGCAAAGTCAAAACAATATTGGACATCAATTACCACCTAAAGCAGTACAGCAATTTATTAATACTACATAAAAGTTAGTTCAGTTTAAAGCCACTTGGCATATAGGTTTAGTTGATGCTAATGTTTTATCAGAAGCAATAGGAGACATATCCTATTAAATTAGTTATGAATTTCACCTTGAAGGATATATACAAACAAAAGTAGTTACTATAGTCATGAGTCCTAGTTCTGCCTCCATTCTGGAATTGCAGAAAATTAAACTGTTAATTTCTGTATCTAAGTCTAAAATATTACCAAGACTTTTTTTTAAGAAATCCTATTACCTGACAGACCTGTATTATAAGAATATCTGGAAGTTAAATTTTAAAATTCAAGAATTAATACATTTGACTTCATTTTTACCTTTCCTTTTTCACCTAGATGGCTGGATTGAGGGAAAGGGTTATTGACTGTGAATGAAAAATCTAT